ATATTATTTCATATTGAAGAGGTGAAGAACAGTGATATGAGATGAAATATTAAACTATCTACCGATGACCTCGTTCAAATTATAGGTGTAAATTATGACTTCAGCAAATAAGTCAACGTAACAGTTTTGAGAAAATGATATTCTTTAAATGCGATTATAACCCAGCCATAAATACATATTACCTCCCGTCCTTTTCAGGATGGCATTTTTCGATTCCAAGCCCTACTCTGGCTCTTGCCACGGGCCGCAATATAGCCTGGCCATAATTATGGCCTAAAGGCTGAACGCGGTTTCTGGGACCTCTCCACGGTGATCCTTATCCACATGGTGGCACTTTGTGTCATTGGGTGTTTATCGCTTGTGTGATGTCCTGGTGGGGTGAAAAGTTAGTCAGTCAGTCAGCCATAAATATGGTCTAAAGGCTGAACGCGGCTTCTGGGACCTCTCAACGGGTGATCCTCATCCACACGGTGGCACCCTGTGTCATCGGGTGCTTATCGATTGTGTGATGTCCTAGTGGGGCAAAAATCTACTACTACTAAATCGCAGGCCTTGAGAAAGAAACTAGGGGTTTACGTGCTGAAATGCTACATAACTATTCTCAGAAAAGAAATATTGACATCGTAAAAGATGTAAACATCAGGGAAGATCGGCTAGAATCTTGTCTCGGAATCTCTAATTCCAATTCCTTTTAAGACAAAATCAGAAACTTAGCCACGCTCAGTCTGCTGCTAGATAGCCGAAGCTGCAACAGTCTCCGACTATATTTGTGGTCTTGTTTATTTACAGTTCGGGGCTAAAGTTTTGGTATTTGGGCCGTCTCTGGACTTAATGCTTTTTTCCTCTTTGTCAGTCTCGGAATCTGAAATACGTTGGGCTTTTCAAGCGCAATGGCGGACTAGAAAGAATAATAGACGGCATGTTCCGTGGAAGAAGAGGCATCCTAGGTACAAGGGTCACGGGGCGGGAGAGTTGGCGAAAGACCAAGTTTCATTTAGGCAAAGCGTGATGAGAGCGACGTTCTGCAAAGGGCGAGGATGGAAACATGGCTAAAAATTAACGTCTAACCATAACATTGCAAAAACTAAGATTTAATTACAAAACTTAATTACTATGCATCACACTACATGTGGAAGAACATCCCGACCTTCGCTTCCACTATGGAATACGGTAACCCTGCTCTATGTGAAATAGCGTCACAAATACCCCCCCCCCCCCCACCCCCACCCCCACCCAAAAAAAAAAAATTAGTAATAACAGAAAGGAGAGTATCAGATCATAGTGGTTTTTGTGTTAAACAGATAGAATTCACACGCAAAGTCCTGGGAGACTCGGGTTTGTCGTGTCAACAAATTGCCCCTCTCATCAATTGATCTGACTGTTAGCCTGTTAAGTGAATTGGCTGGTACAAGCAGGGAGCCAGTGACAAACATCCACACTTGTTGCCTCTACCACCCGGGAAGGGAAAAAAAAGGGAAGGGTTGTCAGATTGTGAAATCATAATCTGTAGCTTATTTAGCGTCTACTGTACGTCTCCTGTCTCCTTCTAACCACATCATCACCATCGTCCTCATCAACATTATAGCCATCGTCATCGTCATCCTTATCCTCAACATCATCATTATCTTCATCATTATCATTATCTTTATCTTTATTATCATCAACACAGTCATTAACAAATTCATGATCATTATCAACATTATTATCTTTATCATCATTATCATCGTCATCATCATCACCACCATCGTCATCACCATCATCACCATCATTGTAATCATCATCATCATCATCATCATCACCAGAAGCAGCATCAACAACATCGTTATCATAATCCGTATTTGCATCATTATTATAATCATCATCATCATCAACATCATAATTATCATCCTTATCATCATCATCATCATCAACACGATCGTCATTACCATCATCACCTTAGGAAAAAGAATAGGGGCTTTTGAGCTGAAATGCTAAAGAAAGATTCTCAGAATATCTTGGACAAAGAAGATAAGAAATATTGACATCTTAAAAGATCTGAACATCAAGGAAGATTGATTAATAAACAGCATCCTTTCTCAAAAGCTTAAATAATTTGGTCATATCAAGTGCCGGATTGGGAAAATGTTATAGCAGAAGGTATGGTACCAGAAAGGAGGGGCAGGGGCCGACTGACACGAAGATGGGCACAGGATATAAGTGACTCCTTGAGTGTGAAAATGCATGAAGCGGGGGAATCGGCGAGAGACCGACTTATTTCGGGCAGACTGTGATGAGAGCGACGTTCTGCAAAGGACCTGCTACATAATGATGATGATGATGACTATGATGTTAGTTCTTTGCTCAACTTATCTCCAGTGTAGTTTTTTTTGTTTATTTTTTTTTTTTTTTTTTTTTTGACTTATGAAAAACTATAACTTCTCAGATGATTGACATAATCACAGGTTGGTACCGAGCGAGACAATGTTAAATCTATATTCTTCATCGCACCTATTTGCTGGTTTTAGAATGTGGAGACTTTCCTGGAAGTGCAGGCAGCAATCATTTTAAGTTAATGTTGAACTACCCCAAGCCGTGACAGCAAAATGGCCGAATTCCGGTCGAGTCACAGGATACAGTAGTCGATATTTCAACACTACGGGCGTATCGATCACTTTCTCCTGCAACAGAGTACACATTAATTGATCCTACACATGGTATACCGTGTCATATCAATAGAACAAGCTACTTCGTAGTGAATAAATAAGCTTTCTATATCCGATTTTACACTTTCAAGATCACCATACAAGAGTTAATAATGTATAGTTAACAGAAACGAATAGTTCTGCGTATGGCTGTGTGTGTTGATATATTCATATTATTTTGGCGTTTAAGCGATATTTGTGATATATGGCTGTGAATGGAGGAGATTGGCGGATCAATGCGGGGTGTACCAATAGTGCATGCAGTTCACATGATTGTCTCCCAGTGTGAACGACAGACGTGAATAAAAGTTCTCGGTAAACCAGTGCTTGAATCTGTCGACCTGGACGTTTTCGTTTACCTGTGGACACCTGCCTAAATATGAAACACCTGATTGATAGCACCTGGTGCCTACCGCAATAGCAGACGGAAGTTTTGTAAAAGAGTTTCAGTTAACTGTGTTTGATTGCTGTCAGAAACTAGACAAGGCCCGTCTGGGGTGTCTTTAGGTTTGAGCTCTATGGGTGTAATTAACTGATAGAAGAATTGACATCATAGGACGCAAGCACATACCCATAGATGCTCTGTTTTCTGCAGGAAAGGTCGTACAGTGTAGACTGTAGATGGTAGGCTGTAGGTAGACTGTAGATGGTAGACTGTCGATGGTAGACTGTCGACGGTAGACTATAGATGGTAGACTGTAGATGGTAGACTGTAGATGGAAGCCTGTAGATAGTAGGCTGTAGATGGTAGACTGTAGAGGGTAGATTGTAGAGGGTAGACTGTAGATGGTAAACTGTAGATCGTAGACTGTAGATAGTTGTCTGTAGATGGTAGACTGTAGATGGTAGACTGTAGGTAGACTGTATGTAGACTTAGGTAGACTATAGGTAGACCGTAGATGGTAGATTGTAGACTGTAGATGGTAGATTGCAGATGGCAGACAGTAGAGGGTAGACTGTAGATGTAGACTGTAGATGGTAGACTGTGGATGGTAGACTGTAGATGGTTGACTGTAGATGGTAGACTGTAGATAGTAGACTTAGATGGTAGACTGTAGATGGTAGACTGTGGATGGTAGACTGTAGATGGTAGACTGTAGATGGTAGAATGTAGGTAGACTGTAGGTAGACTGTAGTTGGTTGAATGTAGGTAGACTGTAGGTAGACTGTAGATGGTAGACTGTAAGTAGACTGTAAGTAGACTATAGATGGTAGACTGTAGTTGGTAGAATGTAGATGGTAGACTGTAGATGTAGACTGTAGATGGTAGACTGTAGATGGTAGCCTGTAGATGGTAGACTGTAGATGGAAGACTGTAGATGGTAGACTGTAGATGGTAGACTGTAGATGGTAACCTGTAGATGGTAGACTGTATATGGTAGACTGTAGATGGTAGACTGTAGATGGTAGACTGTAGATGGAAGACTGTAGATGGAAGACTGTAGATGGTAACCTGTAGATGGTAGACTGTAGATGCTAGACTGTAGATGGTAGACTGTAGATGGTAGCCTGTAGATGTTAACCTGTAGATGTTAACCTGTAGATGGTAACCTGTAGATGGAAGACTGTAGATGGTAACCTGTAGATGGAAGACTGTAGAGGGTAGATTGTAGATGGAAACCTGTAGATAGTAGACTGTAGATGGTAGACTGTAGAGGGTAGATTGTAGAGGGTAGACTGTGGATGGTAAACTGTAGATCGTAGACTGTAGATAGTAGTCTGTAGATGGTAGACTGTAGATGGTAGACTGTAGGTAGACTGTATGTAGACTTAGGTAGACTATAGGTAGACCGTAGATGGTAGATTGTAGACTGTATATGGTAGATTGCAGATGGCAGACAGTAGAGCGTAGACTGTGGATGTAGACTGTAGATGGTAGACTGTGGATGGTAGACTGTAGATGGTTGACTGTAGATGGTAGACTGTAGATAGTAGACTGTAGATGGTAGACTGTGGATGGTAGACTGTAGATGGTAGACTGTAGATGGCAGAATGTAGGTAGACTGTAGGTATACTGTAATTTGTAGAATGTAGGTAGACTGTAGGTAGACTGTAGATGGTAGACTGTAAGTAGACTATAGATGGTAGACTGTAGTTGGTAGAATGTAGATGGTAGACTGTAGATGTAAACTGTAGATGGTAGACTGTAGCTGGTAGAATGTATTTGGTAGACTGTAGATGGTAGACTATAAATGGTAGTTTGTAGATGGTAGATGGTAAACTGTAGATGGTAGACTGTAGATGGTAGCCTGTAGATGGTAGACTGTAGATGGAAGACTGTAGATGGTAGACTGTAGATGGTAGACTGTAGATGGTAACCTGTAGATGGTAGACTGTAGATGGTAGACTGTAGATGGTAGACTGTAGATTGAAGACTGTAGATGGTAGACTGTAGATGGTAGACTGTAGATGGTAGACTGTAGATGGAAGACTGTAGATGGTAGACTGTAGATGGAAGACTGTAGATGGTAACCTGTAGATGGTAGACTGTAGATGGTAGACTGTAGATGGTAGACTGTAGATGGTAGACTGTAGATGGTAGACTGTAGATGGTAACCTGTAGATGGTAGACTGTATATGGTAGACTGTAGATGGTAGACTGTAGATGGTAGACTGTAGATGGTAGACTGTAGATGGAGACTGTAGATGGAAGACTGTAGATGGAAGACTGTAGATGGTAACCTGTAGATGGTAGACTGTAGATTGAAGACTGTAGATGGTAGACTGTAGATGGTAGACTGTAGATGGAAGACTGTAGATGGTAGACTGTAGATGGAAGACTGTAGATGGTAACCTGTAGATGGTA